TTGACGGACAGACACACAAAGTAAATGGTTAATAAAATGATACATACATGGACAATAGTCCAAATGAAAGAGAATGAAGGAATGAAAAAAAGTACATGAGCGAAAGGATGGATGTATCTGACGAGTACAAGCCAGTCTTGTCACACATATGTTGGACGTTGTGATACCTACCATCTTTCTTGTAGAGTACGATTTCCAATTGTAAAGCGTGTTTCTTGATCAAGGCTTGATGAATTCGTTCGATTGCTTCCTTATCGGTCTGATCTCCGTACATGAAACTACAGTCCGCACCCTTCTTCATCACCTCTGTCCGTGAGAATCCACTGAGTTTGCAAAACCCATCGCTACTGTATACAATKGGGTTATCGAGAATTTGAGCATTGCCGAGCACAAAGTTCGGATCTGTTGAAACATTTCATCAATTAGGAAATGGAATTTATATGAAAACAAGAACAACACAAAATGGTGACAAGACATTATTCCTTCGGCCAGAGCTACTGTCCTCTTTTATGAATTAATTCTTATTATGGAATCATCACGGGTTGGTAGCCTGTGTAGCACATTGTGAGCACGTATGACGTCGCTATTTGAATCAACCACTATATTATCATCTTCCATATCATCCATTGCAAACAAATATCGACATCACAATTGCATTAAGACAATTCAAATTATGAGGCATCAAATTATCAAAAAAGAGTATTTTCGATATACAGCAGTGTGTCCGTTTGTTTCTTGGATATCTGGCCGCCTAATCCTGAATCTTCTTGATTTAGTTGTCTGACATTCGAGTAGAATTCTTTTTGGAAAACAAATTTTCTTGTATCAATGAAGAAAGAGCTCATGCGCAAAAAACTGTTTTGTTGCTGAATAAACTTTACTCTTAGCTGACATTACAAACTTTCCTGACGAGCAATTCTGTTTATAACATAAATGCAGTATATAGTCCGCCGATTAGCTGCAGTTCAGGGTAAGGGCATGATTGTTATATGAAACGGGCTGGTTTCTTTTATCTCATTTTTACCATGAACTACAAATTTTTTATTGCAACAGAATTTTGGGCATTTGACCCTGATCTGACCTTGTTTTCATTTAGAGAGAAAAACCGTTAGATGGTCGCTACTTCATTGAGGACGTAAAAATAATGTAATAGCATATGAAATTAGTCTAACAAATCACCTTTCAAAACAATGAAGTATGACGTACTTCCAGGTGATTTATGACGTTGCCATTTTCCATAGCAACCGATTTTCGTCCCCCCCCCCCCCCCCCCCAAAAAAAAAATGATTGTAATCTGAAGAGACTTTGGCAAATATACTGTACCAGTAATAGCTAACGACATCAATAGTAGTAKATTTAAATACAATACATTATATTAATTCGCCTATTGCAGGAGTTCTTCCGGGATATGCTGTCCATAATGACAATAATACACCTTTTTACCAACACACGAGAAACATTTTACAGAAGAGCCTGATTTGTCAGGATGTCTGTAAACCGTTATTGCGATTTTTCGCTGATAAAATATTCATAGGTTTAGTTTCCTTGTATTGTGCGGTAGACAAAAGGTTCAGTTCTAACAAAGGATTTCTTCTTTTCATACTCAAAAACAACGTCATTAATAGTCACAGTTTCAGAGCAATCATTTAGGAAATTATTTTTTTCTTGCCTCAAAAATGCCACAACGTGGAACGATTAAAGCTAAGAAGTTATATCTGAGTTTAAAGTTGTCTTTTTCAGCTGAAAACTGATCGCTTTCTATTTCAATATACTTGACGAGCCAGAAATTATTGCCAAACGAACTTTTTTTAATCAAATCAGCTTTTCGAGTTCTAACAGCGCCGGAAGTCATGTTCTCAAAGRACAAAACATGAACCTGAAAAGCAAAATATCGAACGAAGGCTTGCTGAGTGACCTGACTTTGAAACTAAAAACAATATTAAAACAAGACCAAAGACAGCAAATCGATGCAGTGCTATACTAAAAATACGCCAAGTCACCATGTTTACTACGGTGCTTGCAAAACAAACCTTCCTTTTTTTCATGAATTATTAACATATATATATAAATCATTAATTGACTTCAGAAAACGAACTCGATAGCAAATATATTTACCGATAGTTTGTGTTTGAAACTTTTTTTCATRTGTAATATGTTTCCAGCACTTCCCCGTCAGATTGTAAAAAACAAACACACACAAAACTTCCAAGAGTTATTTTTCAGCGAAAAAGTGTCTTTTAAACGGTTTTGAGGTAGCTCAATAGATCAGAACAACTTAATTGAAGTCCGACGGCCATGAGCTACATACATACCAAACGAATATCCACCACACACAACATAAATTATGAAAGATGAGAAAACTTTTATTTTGAACGGAACCGAAAATCTTTTGACAAGAAGCCACCTGACTAGTCTACTAACAACAATCGCACTTGATATGAACACTACAAACTGGACAGTTTATGAACAGTTATCACTCAAATATAAATAAGTACGAGAAAATTTTATCATGAACACAATATGTGAAAAGTAGTGTTACTTACGAAGTCCGTTCGAGCGTCGAACGATATTCTCTAGGAAAGTGTTCTGCGGCACGACGAGGCCACGTCGACCGACCGGCATTCCGTCTGTAAAAGATAAAATTATTAAAAAATTGCATTTAGGAATATTTTGAATAATGTGGTCGAGCTAAGTTAAAACTAGTGTTGTCTTGGAAGATTGTTGACAGGCAAAATGATAAATAGCTTAGAGAGAACCACCTGGCTATTCAGAATAAAACCATGGCAATGTAACGAAACGCTTTAAAACATTGTCATCCTGATATGGAAGGCCACAATTCGCTTCAAATGATCAACTCTGAATTGCTTTTTTGTGGTTGCTCTAACTTTAAATAAAATATGCGATCGATAACAAGAAAACAGCAAACATATATACACAAACTCTGTAACAGCAAGCTATATACACGAAACACTAAACAATAATGGTCTACAAGTTTCTATTTCCAAATATCATATTTTACCATTGGTCTCCATTGATCAATTTGTGCGAATATCGAGGGTGACGAAGTCAAATTTACTATTAAGTAGAGAGGCACCTTGCCTGGAAGTTTTATTCTAATTTTGCTCGTGGCTAATTAATCTCAAGAAGGACAAACTACTGCGATTACTAACTGCAATATTACTGGTCGCTGAAGGAGTTTTAATTATTTATGTTATTAAAATTTCATAAAAATATTGACTAAGAAAAGGTTTCTATACACTACAAATATAGCTATATCATAGATTCAAAGATAAAACGTTTCATATCATTTGCAAACCAAAATTGACACTTTGAGAATAAAAGATAAATATGGAAATTGGTTGCAAATTTGAAATGCAAACAATGTTTGGTCAACAAATCGTTAAATAACAAGAAGTTTGTGCGTCAGCCTTATTTCACGAAAATCAAAAACACATAACAGTCTTGAAGGAAATATAATGTATACCATAAAGTCTTAATTTGAAATATCGTATTTATAGTGTGACATAGAGGAACTCTACACCGCTTCACCATAGCTAGCGGAAGACTACCGTTGATTGTATTCAAACAATTGGCGTAAAAAGAAATCAAGCTTTTCATTGAAAAAAAAAGAACGTTTAACACCTGTCTAAAGTCTGCCTGTGTCAATGAATGATGGATATAACACTGAGAACAATGTCAAGACTCCACGTTTAGTATGTGCATTATTAACATTAATTTCAATATCATTAATTATTCATGATGTGAATAGCTGCACATATTTAGGTAATTGAAATATCTTCTAGTCCTTTGATTGAACTATTTTTGAAAAGAGA